ATGAGAGTAGTCATGAAGAAATGATACAACATGAGATCACATAGCTTCACTTAAAGATATTAGGAGGACCTAGATTGGCTTACCAAGATCCCAGACCTGGAATTTGATGTTATTATACTGCACAGTTTCAACATTAAATCCAATTGCTGCATAAAAAAAATGAGATAGTTTATAAGATATTTGACCAGTAGCTGAAGGAAAGCAATGGAAGAAACAATTATTTTCAAATGAAATTTTCATTTATGAAAGTAAAGGCGTTGAGAGCAAGCAAAGAACCAACTGGGAACACAAAAACACACCCCACAAAATTTACAAGACTCGAGAAAGTAAACCCTCTAATAAATTGGTGATAGAAATAAAAAATAGGAACAGCATATAAACCTAAAAATTAAGATATCCGAAGTGAAGCATTAAGCTGAACCTAGTTCAATATCTCCACGGAAAACAACTCAGTTATAGAGAATTCGCATGTCCTCTCAAACCAAATACCCCACACATAATGGAAAAAGGGTTTAGCCATCCCAAATTAGTCTACCTTCAAAGCAAGAAAAAGCCAGGATAATCATCAGAATTAATACATCTCCACAAAATATCCATTATTTTAGATGAGTGGCTAGTGGCTACTGCCTACTATAGTTTGAATCCATGATATTAAAAGAATCTAGATTTATAGCTTGCTCCTTGGATCCCTAGGCTAACCATTCACGGATTCTTCCAATCAACTCTTCACCATTTACAATTAAACAATTGAAAAACTAAAGTTGATACTTAATGCTTCTCATAGTTGAATTCTTCACATTCAAGTTGTAATTTCCGATCTTTCCCCTTCTCCTAATGGGATGGGGAGTCCGCAGAAAGGAAAACACGAAAAGCACTGGGAAAACCAAAAATTCAAACTATAGAAACCTCCAGAGAGAACTGAAGGAGGCCAAGCTCTAACCATTGGCTAGTTAGTATTAAATGATTTATAAAACTATAACTCCTAAACATGAATATTGAAAAGTAAAGTTGTAATTCTCATGATTTTGATTAACAAACTGTTTCTCATCCCCCATATAAAATTTAATTCCAACTCTCCTCCTCTAGGTACACAAAGCAAGAGAACCACGAGATCACATTTGGAAAGAATACCAACTTGGAATTGTCGAGACAACCTCCCCCATCTGGAGCCGATCTGCACAACATTCAAAAGAATGCATTACAACATGGCGCCAAATCACGAATCCTAATATCACCGCAAACCAAAAAACACGAAGGCGTAAGAAAAAAATAAAATTAGAGAAACCCACAGAGAATGGTAGTTTTGCCGGCATTATCGAGGCCAAGAACAAGGATCCGAGCTTCCTTATTGCCGAAAAGTGAAGAAAACATCCGAGTAAACAAAATCCCCATGCTTGTAGGTGGCGGAGAGAAAGATAGTATTGAAAAATATGGATCAGATCTCAAACGCAGAGCTCAATACATCCCTGCAAGAGGAATCCAGCTACAGACTCAACATCCAACAGAGATTCGGAGAAAAAAATCAAGAGATGCGCCACAGAAGAGGACAGAACCTGCGTCGGACTCGGGCTTGTGGATCCGGAGAGAAGAATCAACAGTGTGGGAGAGATTCGCTGAAGCAAACCCGTTGATCTGCTGGAATTCGCTTCGCAAATCACAATTTCTCGAAATTGGAGTTGGGAAATTGGAAGGAAATCGCTAAGTAACCGAAGATCTTTTGTTTTGATGGCCGTGTTCCTCCCGCTGCGGTACGGTCTAATCCACGTCACTTCCCAATGCGAATAATATTTATGTATGAAATTCGCTTTTTTTTTCATTTTTTTCATTGTTTAAGCACAATTTTAATAGAACTTTCTTTTTTTCTGAATCGTGTTAATTTAAAACTTTTTAGTTTATGTTGGATTTGATGTTATAATATATTGGTTATTATGTGATTAAAATAAAATTAATCTAATTATTGATTTTTCTTTTTATTTTTTGTGCTACAAGTTGTTAAAAGTGCAATTAGATGAAATTTATTAATCTATAATTTTACGCCAAAATGAAATTTTGCACTCTCAAAATAAAAAAGAATACTACTTATAACCAATATATGATAATTTAGTTCTGCTTGAGTCTAAATCTTAATTGAAAATTTCAACCAAAAAATAATAGTARTAATAATAATAATCTTTACCCAATATGAACTAGAAAAGTAATAGTCTTTCTTACCTTTTTATAAACTTAAAAAATAAAAAATGATACTCGCACGCGATTAGGCTCAATTATAATAAAAATTTTAATCGAACTCAATTACATATTCTAAATTATAGTGATTAAATACTCGCTAAAAAATATATGTGTATATATATATATATTAAGAAATAAAATACTAAAATATGTATATATATATATATTAGTAATAGTTTCTAGTTTCTTATTCCTCGTTCTCCAAAGTTTTCAAATTTTTGTGACATTAATTTTTTAAATTAAATATTTTATATTATTTTTACTTTTTAATATATATATATATATATATATATATATATATATATTATGTATATACAAATCACGAAGGTGAGGAGGACAAACGACCTACGTGAGACTGGAGCATTAGAATTTCTAGTAATGCTAGTCTAATCAATACCTCCTCTTGCAAAAAGGACTAATTTCGTCCCATAAATCATAAATGAGAGAAGCTTTTCGTACTTTGTACTATTTGATACTAATTAATACTAAATAGATTGGATGAAATTTTAGTGTATACTATCATCTGAAGAACACACGGAGCACCCATTTCTTGGTGAATTTAAAAGGAGAAACAAAGAAAAATATAGAACAAACAGATCCTAACTTCCATTGTTTCACGTACAGAATTTCTTCTACTGTAAATCAAATTAATATGACAATTGACAAGCAAAGATGAAAATTATTTGCAGCCATTGTGAACCTAACTCTACTTGTTCTACATACACTGTTCTGCCATGAAACAGAAGAAGACTCAACCCCTAGCAACAGGCCTTCATTATTCTAAACCATAAAAACTAAAAGAAAAAGAAAGGGCTCCTGTTTCTTCACAGTGCTGACTGGAAAATCATCTCAGCAAGTTCCTGAAACATTGCAAAAAAATCCTCCATCACACCCACTTTGAGGCACATAAACTAACAAAAATGCAGAAATAGCATTCGGCACTACAGATTCTCATATGACGTTAATCGTTTGTGTTTCAAATTTTTCAATCCCAATGATGGACCCAATCCAGCTCGACCCCACAAAAAATTTGGATTGAGTTAGTTCAGATTGTTCAAGTAATTCTTGTCAAAGGTCAAGTTCTGTGTCACGAAAACTCAGACTTAGAAATTATTTTCTAAAAAGCTTTTCTTAGTATAACAAATATGAGTGGAGGATTGCAACTCATGGAAGATACTTCAGGTCCGTTCGATAGCATTCTTATTTCTTCGTTTCCTATAAACTGTGATTGAAAACTGTTTTTGTTCACTCTTTTTTATTGAAAAAATGAACATAAACATTATTTAGTAACCCATTTTTATTTGGTTCTTGTCCTTTAAGATTTTAAATTAAAAAAAAAAAAAAGAGAGAGAGAGAACATTTTATATAAGGCAACTAATAAGAGTTTGGAGTTATCGTAAATTGTATGTAAAAGTGAGTGAGTCTGAGTTTTACCTGCTTAGCAGAAGGAACCTTAGGCTCTCCCCATTCCAAGGCCTTCTTCTCAAGATATTCGAAATCAGCCTTACCAGCCTGCACCAAGATGCAGAACATCATATTAAAGAACCAAAAACCGAAAAAAAAAGGTTGAACATATATGAACAAGTAAAACTAACAAGTTACCTCTATTTGTGCACCGATTTCGGTGTCAAAACTCTGGTATCTCTTACGAACAAGCTCCATTAAAGAACCATCCTTTTCAAGACATCACCGTTAAACAACATTAATGGTTTAACCAGGAGATAGAACAAAAACCGAACCTCTAATGGAACATACAAAGGTTATGATGACAAGAGAAGATTAGGTATAAATTAACTACCTCAATCAGGTTCTTGACACTTCGGAGTCCCCGGGCGAGGGTATCCATTCCACTAATATGAGCAATAAACAAATCTTCAACATCCGTGCTCTCTCTTCGCCTGTCGATGAAGCAGCCAAAGTGGATGAGTATCAAAATAGCCATAGAGATTGTAATTGAAATCGGAGCTAACTGAAATTAACTCACAATTTTGCATCAAAATTGAATCCACCTGGTGCCAAACCTCCCTGCCACAGAAGGAAAAGTGATGTGAAGTTCTGTTATTGAATTTTTTTTCCTTATGAAGCTTTGAACAGTTGTTAACCGAACCGAGATTTGTTACATACATTTTTAACAACACTGAGCATAACCATAGTAGCTTCTCCAACATCAGTCAGAAATTGATCAGTATCCCAACCTGTGACATTAAAAATCTAAAATTAGTAGTTTACCCAAATATCACACCTTCTGTGATATATAGGAATAGAATGGATTGAGGCTGTTCGAGGTTCAGTTATCGGTTTATACCAACTTGAGGGTCACCAGAGTTGGCATCAATATTTCCTAGCAGCCCATTGATCCTTGCAGTTTCAAGTTCATGGTGGCAACTGGAATGTACATACAAGAGAAGTTTGAAAAAAGTCAAATATTTCCACATGACCAGCAGAAACGCATTGCGGGTAACAGATAAGTAATCAAAACCAAGTATTTCAAATGGATTGAGTACCTGTGACCGGATAGAGTGGCATGATTGCACTCAATGTTAAGCTTAAATTCATCTACAAACAGAAATGAGGAGAATAAAGATCAGTATCGATGATGTAAAATACATCAAAAGGCCACAGAATCTATCAGAGAAGACAAAACAATCACCTATAAGACCGTATTTCCGCAGGAAATTAGCTGCTGTTGCAGCATCCCAATCATACCTGATAAAATAAAACCATCCATCCATAAGCATAGAAAGTTCACAAACCAGAGCCCAACATAGGGATGTTATAGATGGGTTGGTTCAAGTTGGTATTTGGCCAAAACTAAAAACTGAAGCCGAACTGACAAATCGATTTCAAAAAAAGAGAAGTCAAGAAACGCACTGATGTTTGGTAGGCTCCTGGGGCTTGGGTTCAATAAGCAATGTTCCTGCAAAGTTGGAGAAAATAATTTAAGAAAATAAACTACCATTGAATGTCTCAAGAAACTCTCAAGTCGGTTATGAATTTCCATGTCTTGATGGAACATTTGGAAATCAAACATACCATTGAATCCAATCTTCTTTTTGTGGGCAACAGCAGCTTCAAGAAACCTGGCCTGCAACCCGATTATAAACAATCCTTATAACTCAATTCCAAATGGGAGAAGCAATAATTAAATATCAGTTAGATTACGATGTACCCTTTTACTAGTAAAGACTTGTAATAACTCACCAGATGATCAAGCTCTCGCCCCATATCTGTGTTCAGTAGAGACTGATAACCCTCACGACCACCCCAGAATACATAGTTTTCGCCTCCCAAATAATGAGTTACCTGACAAAAATGTGAATTAGCACCATGAAGATTGTATATAAAATCATCTAAACTAAGCATTGTAACTGATGCACCTCCATAGCTTTCTTGACTTGAGCAGCAGCATATGCATAAACGGCAACTTCAGAGCTGAAAGAGAATAAATGCTCAAACAATGAAATCAGGAACAGCATGGCGATGAATAACAATGGTCTAAAACAGGTACCTAGTAGCAGCACCGTGCATGTATCGAGGGTGCACGAACAGTTGTGCTGTACCCCACAGAGGTTTAATTTTGGTTCCCTGCATAGCAACAAATGGCATTCAAACGATACACAACTTATTGACTCTAGCTCGGTGATGTCATCAAGCTCAAGGTTAATAATGCAGTAAAGTAGCAAACAAAATGAGGTAAACACTAAACAGTCCTTTCAAAAGTTGTAGATCTTTTTCTTTTCCCTATGTACACTACCAAACAAACACTAATAGAAAATAACACCAAAAGCATTTGGATGTTGATTTGTCTCATTTCCTACTATTACAAAAGAGATTAGAATTTAGATATCCAGTCTTTATAGAAAAGAACTTGCACCTCCCGATTGAGCACTATAAGTAAAAACTACTAACATATTTGATATGATGATTTCCATATGCATTTTTTTTAATGAGAAACAACGCTTTCATTGAGAAAAATGAAAATAGTTACAAAAGAACAACACGTGCATACAAAAATGTGCAGTCCAGAAGGGGCTTAAGAATGAGGCCTAACTGATAATTACAAAAAACCTTAGTGAACAAACCCCATAAGGAAGTATTATATCTAATAAGTTCTCAAACATAATCCTTCGATCTCTCCACCCCCCTAAACAGTCTATTGTTCCTCTCTAACCAAATACCCACGCTAGAAAACAAGTCTGCCACAAAAAAAAGACCTCTGTCCCGAAAAGGGGGGGACCACCTCCTCCATCAACGTCCTCCACTCTCTAGAACATTTATTGAAACGGACACCGGAATGAATAACAATTACAATTACCTGAAGCTCTTTAGCGAGGGCCACCACCGCATCCAAGTTTGCATTAGTTTCCTATGAAAATCATACAAACAGAGTAGAAACTTAGAATACAAACTTTATGTCCCTTAACATGCAAAAGGTCGAAACCCAGGACCGGGGGATACAAGAAACCTAGTAATACCTTTAGGGTTTGTCCATCTGGGGCTATATCTCTATCATGGAAGCACCACCACTCGACACCAAGTTTGTTTATGAACTCGAAATTGGCTCTCACTGCACATCCAAACAACATAAATACATGTCAGTTATACTCACTGACCATATTAACCAAAGGCTGCAGACCGAAGTTATGGATTTCTCTCTTACTCCTCCTCTTTGCCATAGCCAATGAGTTGGTACCATCTTCCCATGGCCAATACTTAGTCGCAGCACCAAATGGGTCCCCACCAGTCCCACGAAATGTATGCCAAAATGCAACACTGAATCTCATCCAGTCCTGTGTCAGGATATTTGCTGTCAGAAACAATTAATATACGCTTTGAATCTCAAACAATCGTAGGAAAAGAGAAACGAAACCTTCATTTTCTTCCCAAGAATTTCCTCATCAGCATTATACCATTTAAATGCCAGTGGTTTTTTGCTATCAGGACCCTGATATGGAAGGAAGGAGCAGACAAAAAGAAAATAAAAGAAGTAGACTATTTGTTCGAAACTATAATACAAGTTAATTCATCAATAAGAAAGAAAATAATTACATAAAAGTTCAATTGAAAAATAATACCGAATGAGAGCTTTAATCTCATTCTTTTGTTGCATTGTATTTAGGAGGACTTTTGAAGGTGGAGTTTTTAAGTGAAACACATAATTATTGAGACAAGCGCCTAAAATAGCACTTTAAAGTTCTTGGAAGTGCCTTAAAAATTTTCAAAATCACAAACTTCCGAAAAGTGCTTTATTGCACCCTTCCAAAAGTGGGTATCAAGCTCACCCTCAAAATAATGAATCAAAATATAAAAGACTTCAAAGTTGCAGCAAAATAGTTAGAATGAGTTTGAGTTCGGCATGCAGGATCCTTTTATATTTTGTTCTTAAAGCACTTTTAATAAAAATGAATTTAGTTAAAACAGTTGTGGGTTTGATTACATTTTATGAGAAGCTATCGGTCACAAATTTATTATTTGGTTGAAAAAATTGATTCTACTAATCTAAGATCAAATCACTTTTTGGTTGAACCAGCTATTGAAAAAGAGTTTTTAAATTAATAAGCGCTTTTTATTTGTTACCAAAAGTTGCAAAACTAGTCATCCGATATCACTTGGAAGCTGTGCCAATTGCCAAACACACTCCTATTCTTATTCTTATCCAAAGAAGTAAGACTTACAGATTCCAATTTATGTCCCATTCTAGAAAGAATTCATTACAAACACAGAAACAAATGATTCTATGTCCCCCCAACTTACCTCATACTTAATCTTGGGAATACCAGGGAAAAATTCCCCTTCCCATTCCCCAGAATGGCTGCATTCACCTCCTAGATCAGCAGCAGGACAAGTCGGAGACTCAGCAATCTACAAGAAACCCAAAACACATTCAAACAAGACCAAAAACACAGAGACCCACAAAAGTATAATCACATTCAATTCAATACAAATTGGGAAAAAAAAAAGCCTGATGAAGAAAGAGAAAAAATCGCTCACCGCCCCAAGCAATAACACGTTCAAACAAAGAACCAGAACCAACACGTTCCGGGATTTCATTTTCTTTCCAACTTCTGCAACATTTCACCCAGAAACATTATCAGAAACAACAAACAAACAATCCTCAACAATCGAATATAAGATCATCGGCGCCAAACAACACAGAAGCATCCAATTTCAAAGTAATCGCAAATGAATTAGGAGAGGGGATTTCAAACCCAACAGTAAATAAGAAAAAAACCCAGAACAGAACAGCAAAAATCAGAAGCGGTACAGTGAAAAATACGCGAAAATTCTCCAACCCAGAAGAGAAAATGGAGAAACAGACAGACTCACAGATTGAAGTGGCCCTCGAAGAACTAAAAGGAGTATCAAAATACATCCGGACGATGGCCATCCATGCGTCAAATATATAGTGGGGCAACCGAAGGATAAAAACTTTTGAATTTGAATCAGAAATTCGTAAAACCCGGATGAGATCGGGGAAGCCACTGTAAGTAAACGGAAACAATGAACAAATTTCAGTGGCATTTTCGTCTTTACACTTGGATAAATTTGTTAAGATTTCGTAGAAAAATAGGGAACGTAAATAGAAAAATGAGATATCGTAGAGGGAATGATAACGGCACCGCCCGATGGATGGAAAGACTGGTTGTGCTGTGACTTTTGCTAATTATTATTGGCCGTGATGGAATGTTACGTGACCGCTGGTGACAAGAGTTACAGCATAGGTATGACGTGGCAAAAGTGGATAAGTGCGCTGAGTCAGCTTTTAAGTATTTAGAAAGGCCAACTTAGGAAATTAATAAAGGCGAAAATTAATTTCTTGTCGACATGTCGTGCTTTTTTGTTGAATAATTAATCAGAAAATGCTACATGGACTATATTTTAAGGGAAAGAACCCTTGACAGCTATGTTGGAAAAGTGAAGCTGGCTAAATTAGAGAAACAAAACTTTGCTAATAAATAATTTGGCATGTGTAGAACGAAATTGACTTAAATTGAAGGGCATAGTTTCTCACATCCAACAGCCAATTTAGTTCATCTTCCAGAGTTGTAATTTCTTCATGGATCATATTAATAGCAGACAAGGAGTGTCAGATTCCACCAACAAATGATGGTGGTAATTCATGGATTGTGCAAGACATCTGCCCTTTGGTATCACGAATAGCCCTAATTTCAACAAGAATAAGTGGGGAAAGGGAGACCGGCTCCAATGGTCTGCCCTTTGGYATCATGAAGGATGAGACCAAGATTAGTGTGTGGGAGGAAAAGGAGAGAGTAGGAAGGGAAGAGAATGGAGATGGTGTCCTAACAACCACTTCTATAAAAACTATCCTTCACACATGGGTTACTCTATATGAGTATCATGGAATTTTGGAATTAGGTTTTGGGGATGCTTGTGCAACAAGTAATAATTTTTCGACATCTATGTTATTTTCACGACATGTTGTCTCGATATGTCGCTCGGCATTTAGTACAACGTCGTTGAATAAGCACATTTTTACCATTTCTTTACATTAAGAACAATTTTTGACAAAGGTACACTTTCCTTCCCATTTCTTTTTCTCTTTTTATTTGTTTTT